GGAAAGAGAGAGAGAGAAGCTCCCGCTGAGCATGGAGCTGGACTAGATTCACAACCCTGAGGTCATGATCTGAGCAGAAATCAAGAGCCAGTTGTTTAGTGGACTGAGCTGTCCGTGCACCCATATTCTGATATTTTAAATGCACACAGATACTATGAAAGCACACTGCAGTAGTAACAGGTTGGTGGGCTGTCCTGAGAAATGGGTGTGTATGAGAAGTGCATTGAATTCATTTTCTCCCCAAAAGTTTCCTCTTTTGACCACTACAGCCTTGATAGTCACCAGTCACATGGAAAAAAGGAAAAAAAAAAAAAGCCTCTGATTTTGCTTTTTAGAGCTTTCCTCAGGGATCTATAACTTTGTAAGGAGCAAAAGTTTAGGGCATTCTGTTTGTTTTGGGTATTTTTTTTTTTTAAAGATAGGGAAGAATCCGTAAGTGCACATCATTTAAAAGTTGAATAAAATCATATATTTAAAAGATTATAGCATCCAGAGTATTCCAATCTGCAATTTAATTTATGGCTTAATGTGTTATATTCATTTTGCCTTCCAAAAAAAGGTTAAATTTGAAATTTTATTAAAAACTCCCTTCCTTTGAATTTATAGATTGGGGTGGCTGTTTTATCCACTTGCCGTGTAGAATTAGTATTTACTGAACAAGATGTGTTGATTCAGGAGGTTGTCTGTGGAGTGCTTGCCCCGAGAGGGTCATATTAAACTCAAGAGAAGCTTTTTGAGCAACATAGCATCTTGGAGACAATATATCAAGCTGATAGATACACGGCTCTTCTGTTAAGAAACCAGGGGTGAAATTATGGCTGGCTCCCAGTTATTGCTTTGGTGCTAAGGAGCCTCTAAGGAATAGGTCTAGGATAAAAGGGGTTAACCAGAGGGGAAAGAAAGTTTTCCAAAATTCAGTGTTACTAGAAGCATAGAAAATGAATGGTTATATGTTAATAATTTAAGATGATCACTCTGTTTGGAAATATTTTGCAATTTTATATAATCAGCATGTGACCAATTTAATGGGGCACATTTTTTTGTCATTGTTATCACTCAGGAGAGAACCCAAGACACTGTGTTATTATCATGGAGCCTACCTCGGGGCACACCTCCATTCTATCTTAATACAGTTTTAAACATGTGAATGGATTTTTGTGTGTGTATTTAAAACTCCAGTTTTTTCATGTTGATGACTTACCAGAACTAATTTTTTCCCCAAATTTGGACTTTTGATGATATGATATTGACACAGAAAAATTAGACAAGAGAATAGTCAAGTGATGGGCATGATTTTGTATGTCTACATCATACACAATTTTGTACTTTACTTTTGTCCATGCCTTTCGATGTATGTCCATTTATTGTGAATCAATTAAAAAACATAGAGCATATAAGAAATAATGATTATTAAAACTCTATATGTTCACAGATAAATGATCAGTTAGCAAGTCTATAGCAGAGGATTATGGGATGAGTGGCCCTGGACAGAAACCCTACTGCATCCCAGGCATGCCACATTCCTATTAACTGAGGGAGCAATTTCATACCATTTCATGTCTCTCTCTCTCTTTTTTTTTTTTTTAAAGATTTTATTTATTTATTTGACAGGCAGAGATCACAAATAGGCAGAGAGGCAGGCAGAGAGAGAGAGGGGGAAGCAGGCTCCCTGCTGAGCAGAGATTCTCATTGTGGGGCTTGATCCCAGGACCTGAGATCATGACCTGAGCCAAAGGCAGAGGCTTAATCCACTGAGCCACCCAGGTGCCCCTATTTCATGTCTCTTAAAGCATCTGATTTACTCTCACTCTTCAGCACTGAGTTGATGCCTTTGCTCACTGAGAAAATGGACACCATCAGAAATGGTCTGTTTTCCATCATGAAATCAACCTATCTGCCAGTATCAGCAGTCTCTGAATTCACTTCTGTACAATGGGTATACCATCCCTGCTCTTGTCATTGGCGATCGTGCCCTGCTGGCCTGCTTCTCTCTCCCATACAAGGAATTAGCTCTGGCAGTTACTCTTCCTTCTGCTACATTATCATTTCCCCACATCGCTTCTGGATCTTTCCAATAGGTTTGCATACACCATAAAACCTCCCAGTTTTTAGGACACCTTCTTTTAGTACCAGAAGCTTCTCAAAATGTTGCCCCATTTTCTACTCCCCTCTAGAAAAAAATCCTTCAGACGAGTTGCCTGTGCTCACTATCCCTTCATTCCCTTTGCACCATCTCCAGTCACACTGCCGTGCCTGCCACTGCACTGCATCTGTTCTTGGCACCGTCACCAAACACCTCCACTGGGCTATATGCAAAATATAATTCTCTTTCCTTAAACTCTTAGCATGTATGACAGTTGATCAGTCCTTCCTTTTTGATATGCTTTCTTTGCTTGACTTCCAGGCTGTACCTTCTCTAGGATTTTGTCCTCTCTCACTGACTACTTCCTTATGCCTCCTTTGTTGTAGAAGATTCCTCCTGACTTCAAAATGTCGGTGGACCTCGTGGCTCAGTAAACAGATGCCTTCTGCACTCATTCTATCTGCACTCACCCACTGAGCTGTTTCATTAAGTTTCAGCCATTAAATACCACACAGACCGTCATCCACAACTCCTGTCTAGATTCATACTTGCAGCTTCTTCCTGGATGTCCCTCTTGGAGATATGAGTATGCCTCTCCAGTGTAACATGGACAAAACAGAATTCCTGGTCTTCCGCATAATGAATCTCTCCCCCTCAGCATTCCTCAGCTCAGCAATGGCGCCACCATTCACCTGGGAGGTTAGGTTCAATACACTGACATCATCTTTATTCCCTTATTTTCTCTTAGCAAATACCCTCCATACTCACTTAACAGCAGACTGTATCACCACCTCTGCTGCTGTCACTCGAATCCATGCTGTTGTCATCCTTTACCTGGATACCTACAATAGGTGATTTCCCTATGTCTACCCTTGCCCCCACTCCTCCATTAGCATAGAGTAGCCTTTATAGGTTCCAAATTGCACCATGTCCTTTATTAAAATCTAGCAATGGCCCCGAAATCCATTTCAAATGGAATCCAAAGCCCATTGTATATTTTCAAAGCCTAGAACTAGAAGGGATCTCAAGGGATCTAGACCCTGCCTGTCCCTGCAGCCTCCTTCTGTTTTCCTCTCATGGACTGTGTCAGCCACATTGACCTCTCCACTGTTCTTGAATACAACTGACGTGTCCCCTTCTCGCTGTCTTTGCATTTACTTCCTCCCTGGCTGGATTGCTCTTCCTCCAGACACTCTCATGACCACCACCCTCATGTCATTGAGGTCTCTGCTCCAATGTCACTTAATGACATGATCTTCCCATGACTTTCCTGCTCAGTCTGAATTGTTATGTAATAATAAAATTGCACTTCTTTTCACTTTCTCTTCCCTTACCCTGATTTCTTTTCCTCCTGAGCTTAGCTGTCTGGTAGGATCTTATGTACCCGTTGGCTTACTGCTTGCTCGCTCTGTTTACATCTAAGTTCCACGGGGTCCGAGGCCATGTCTGTTTGACTCGATGCTGTTATCCCACCACACAAAGAATACTACTTTGCACAGAGTAGAGGCTCAAAAAATGTTTACTAAATAAATTAGTGGGTTGTTGGTAAGCTCAAAACCCTTACAACAGATTGATGAAATCTGTAATATAATTCGTCCGTTTTGTCACTGGCCATTCATTAGCTTCATAGTCCATAGGTAGGTTCTCCTACAGGGGAAAGTACGTAAAACGTATATACTACATAAGGCTATGTATGAAAAGAAGTTGAAAGTGAACCTGATAATTGTTTTCATTATTTTGATCCCTTCTCCACTAATGACCTCCAATATTCTTTGGCCATTAGAAACATATATTACAATAATTAGAGTTTTCCTAAAAACTGACAATATAGTAGCACTTAAATTATGCTAAGGGAAGTTTGGATCAGTCTGATATAATAATAATAATAGTAACAACTAATAATTACCAAGACCCAAAATAAGGTGCTTCATTTTCATTGTGTCCGATCTTCACAACAATTCTTAAAGAAAACTATCCCCATTTGAAAGATAAGAAACAGGCTCAGAGCCATTAGGTGATTATCCTAAATTCACAGGGCTTTGCTTAATTTCTTTTGAGTTTCAGGCTAGCTTTGGAACAAATTTTACTATGATAGTTTCATTCAAGTTATAGCTGCTAGAAAAATTAATTTAATAACCAGAGTCATGTTGTCATTTTTTTAAGTAGAACAGACTTCAGTTTCACTCATTCCTCTTAGACCTTATAGAACTATTCAAATAGATTTTATCAAGTAGGTAGACTGAACTCAGGAAAAATTGACCAGAGGTTCAACTAGACTAGAAAAAGCAACATATATGTTTCAACATGCAACATATTCGAATTAAGGACAACTGACTGTATAAATCACATGAGGAAAAAACTTTAGTTTTTATAATATCATAGGTGAGAATTAAATCTGGAATATGCTATTTTCAGTTAATCGTATATGTTTATCATTGTAGAAAATACAATTGTCATAAATCATCTTAAAAAAACAAAGAGTCATTTGTATTCATGAATAGCAGTGTGATTCAGTGACACTGGGTGATATAGATGGGAGAAATAAAAGATCTGGACTCCTTCACTGATTTCTTAGCAAAGAGTTAAAATAAAAAGGTACTTTAATATTTGGTTCACTAAGTTCCCTCCCTATTTTCAATTAGATAAACAGAAGTACAGGTGGGAATGTGCTGCATATTCATTTGTCTTGCTGTTTGGGGGCTGGCTTTTAAGATTGAAATACTAATGTAATTGTGGTGAAATGAACAATAAAGAAGTACAGTAGTTCAGGAATGAAAATGTTAAATTAAATGGACCATGTTTAACATTGTTGTTGATCCTGAGGAACAGTTTTTCCAGTATATGGAGCATTTCGATTCCATCCAGCATATGTTCTCCACAGTTTTCTCTGCTCTAATTCATCTGTGTTTTTCGACAGCTCCAGATGGCGTGCTGCCTCCGAGGCTTTCATCTGCCACTCCAACCAGTCTTCAGGTTGTCTGGTCTACACCAGCTCGCAACAACGCTCCTGGCTCTCCCAGATACCAACTCCAGATGAGGCCTGGCCATTCCACCCATGGATTTCTGGAGTGAGTATCCTACTTCGTCCATCCTCTTCCCTGTCACCTGGATTATACAATGTGGACATAACTTACTTTGTCTTAATTTGTGAATAGGTCAGTTCTCCTTGACAACAAACAAAGGCCACCTTTTAAAAGTACAAATAAACAAAAGACAAGAAACACCCTATGGAATCGTTATTTGATTTGCAAAAATATCTGTATTTCATTTATATAGCATTAATATAAGATTTCTTCCCTCTTAACTTTCCATGAGCATATGTATTGCATAAAGCAAGCATATACCTGAACTGAAAAAAGAAAATACTGTCTGGGCTGTAGATACAGAATTATAATACTTAGTCTACAGATTCCAGATGGCAATCAGTCTTAATCGTAGACTAGAATTTTCTCAATACTACTAGAATTTACATCTCGTATAAATGTAATAGTACAAACCCTCAGCCAAATGGCTCCTTATTTTAAGAGAGATCTCATATAACAGCAGAAAATCATAGTACTTAACTGTACATTGATGTTCTCTGAAACTCCTTTGCAACAAGATTTTTTTTTTAATTTCTTTGAATATCTAAAAATCCCTAATGAACATTTCTTTCCTATGTAGGTTATTTTCCAATCCTTCTGCATCGTTAAGTTATGAAGTGAGAGATCTCCAACCGTACACAGAATATGAGTTTCGGTTGGTGGCCTCCAATGGATTTGGCAGTGCCCATAGTTCCTGGATTCTCTTCGGGACTTCAGAGGACAGTAAGTGGTCTGAACAATACACCGCCAAATCTTGTCTACATTAGGGGCTGTTTTTCCAAAACCGAGAAATAAGCATCCGCTATTTTCTTGACAGTTAGTGACAATAATCTCTTCTAGGGCAATTGTAGTCAGACTCTCCAGAACTGAGAAAAATGTAGGTTGGGCACCTCGGAGGGTGAGGACTTCAGAAGAAAAATTACTACAGGAAGAAGTAATTCACAACAAGTTAGGACATGTCCCTGTTCTAGCCTTCAGGGTACATCTAGGTATCCTGGCAGAGGGAAGTTGTCATCTTCCACTCACGGTTATCTGCTTTGGAGGAATTCTGGCAGGCAGAAGAACATGAAATAGGGGTCTCGCTTCATGAGGATTTTTAGTATGTCCTTAAACGTTTTCCTGGAAAGAGAGTCCATTATACTTTGAATCACACCTGAAAGGCAGACTTCAGAATAGAGAAGTATAATCTGATAACAACGATTCTACACTATTACAAAGAGTAGATTGGGATTACCTTACTCAATCAAGAGACTTTTCTGGTTTTTCGTGAAAGAGTTATATTTGCATATATGCGTTTTTACTAGGTTATATATAGAAAATAAATACATGGCTATAGTACTTAGTATTATACAAATTGCTTCTATAAAAGCATATATATGGAAATGTAATTTTTTTTTTTTAGAAAAGTTTGAAATTAGATCAAGCTCTGTGGAGTGAATGAGGATACTGTATCTTTGAACAAAGAGGTTTTTAGGGTTAATCTTGTCAAGTCTTTTGATCAGAGGCTCCTTAGAAGATGTGGCTCAGTTGGCCAATTGTCATTCTGGCCCCATATCCAATGAGGACCTGAGTGACTTTCAGAAGGCTAGATATTAATCAGAAGACATGGTATTTGAAACAATATCAATTGTATATTAAATAGATTCTTTTATTTCTCTAATACCCTTAATTATATTATTTTAGTGATGATAAGACATCAAATGACATAGAATCAGAACTATTTACCCTCCTTAAAGCTAACTTTATTTTTTTAAAAAGCCATTATGAACAATAATATATAATACTTCGTACATTTCTCCCAATTTGTAATTACTCCCTGGGAGCAAGTTAGGTACTTTACAAGGGCACATCCAGTCCTTTTGGTCTCTCGGGTACCATTTAGTAAATTATCAGCACAGTGCAATAAACGACACCCAAGACCCAGAAAGCATTAGTGCACTACTCAAGGCACCTACATCCCTTTTAGGGGGAATATCACACACACTCTGGGGAATCTGACAACATAGTCACCAACTGTATACACATTTAAGGAACTAGAGAGCTCATCTTCAGAGTAGGTTTTTAAAGAAACATTTTTTAAAAAAAACAACTGAAAATAGACTTTTAATTCTCCCTCATGGATAAATGATGCTTGAAGGCACTCAGTAAAGGTTAGCTAAAAATAATTATTCGGCCCACTACAGAGGTGGTGGCTCCTTAGAATGCCACACTGAAAGAGGAGGGAAATGTACTCCTTTTTTTGGCCCCCACAATCTCTATTCCCGCAGAGAAAGGACAACAGTTGGATTTCCTCAGTGCTGATTCTTCCTGACTAGAGGCCATGATCTTCTACCTACAGGTAGGAAGTTGACATATAAATAAAGTATAAAACATTGCACAGTACCAATTGGCATAGCATTCTTTGTTGAACACATTTCTCCTGCCTTATCTTACCACAAAGCAAGTCTTACAGAGTCTAAATGGTTAGAATTTTCATGCACGTAGACATTGTGTTGTGATTTGCAGGGCCTGGGTTTGAAGCGAATAGTATTAACCCTTCATCTAGTTTAAGAATTGGTAACACACGGCTGTATAGCCAGTATTAACCCAAGAAGCCCAGCCATCATTTTTATTTAAATCCCTTCCCTGAGACCAATGACTTCTTTCTTCTTTGGCTTCATGTGCACACTGCAAAGTCACATACATTATGAAAGAGCCAAAGGCTGGCCATCTGCCCCACTAGGTTAAGTCACCAGCGCTTGCTTACCCCTGAGACATAATGGCAACGCACTCTATATTTTGGGTGTCAGTGGAGATGGATGCCATGTCTGAAGGGAAATGCACTTGAGTTGATAAAGAGTGAATGATTGGCATTGGGCACAAGCAGTTTCTTCTGTCAGGGCTTCAAAGCATCGCTTATGAGACCAGCCATGATGACAGCTCCATGCCAGGACTGCGCTTCATACTTGATCCTGACTAGCACCGCCCATTTGCCCAAGTGCAATTTTTAATGTAAAAATTCTACATATCATCTTACAGAATAAAGCAGAGAAGTCACCTCATGCCCACATTTCAATTTCATACCATCAACAGGCACCTTTCTGCATCAGCCAAAGCCTCTCGGAACTTCCTGGTGCCATAAAAGGACACCAAGAGCAATATTTTTAGTGTGATATAGCAAGACGGTGATTTTCGTCAAGCTCGTGACATGTCTGAAACTGGAAAGAGATAGATAGGCAGAAAAAGAACTGTACACAGAAAAACAAATGCTGCTTTGAGTGCAAAGAGAAGTTCTCATGGACAGAGAAAAGGGTTGTGAAGAATCTTAATGGATTTTTTTTCAAATAATTTGTCATTTATATCAGAGTACCACCAATATCCAGTTCCATGCATTTTTAAAAATCTAGTGTGCTGGTGCCAAATAATAATAATGCACATTTCCTATGAATATTTTAAATCCCGTTAAACGTGTGTTAATAAAAGATGTTTGTTCCAGCCAACTTGGTCAGTGTAGTGTTCGACTGCTTGCAACCAGATAAATACAAACAACTCCTGGTTCTTGTTGTGTGTGTGTGTGTGGGGGGGGGGGGGGTTGTTTTTGGTTTTTGTTTTTTTTGCATGCTGCTGGCAGTTCAAGCACCTGACCTATCTGCAGTTTACAAAAATACATTAAGATTGTGTTAGACTTGGATGCATATGATTGACAACATGAAGACATTTGCCAAAGCACTGAAATTTCAGGATATTTTTTTAACCTGAAATAACAATCATTCCTGCTTACATTACTGTTCCTGTTCTCTTGTGTGCTCACAATTGTTTCCTGTGCAATATATGCATATAGAAATTGTAGCTGTCTGGAAGGGTACTTTGGCTGACTAAAATCCTGCCCTGTGGAAAATATAAGTTAACCCACTGTTCTTTAAAAATGTGGATTCCCTAGACCGTCAAAAGTCAGATAACCTATTTTTCTCAAAGTTTTTTAGGTAGCAAGATTGAAATACAGAATATCTTTATTTCAGTCATTTTAACAGCAAACATTTGTGGTGTACACAGGCAATTAGATGATCTGATGAAAATGACATTGTTTTCTAAAAATGACTTCTCTCCTTCCAAAACAAAACAAAAACTCAAATTGGTTCTAGAGTAGACTGTTGAGTTATCATATATTTTTAAAAGACTTAAAAAACTTGATTTTACTAAATTTGAACTTAAAGACTCCACATTTATATTTCAACCACTCATCTAAGAGGCATTATTAAATCAAATTTGTGGGATTTAAGCAGTTTTTCTGTAGATTTACCTAGACAGCTTTTCATAAGCTCATCATATTGCTGACAGACTGATTGTGAGTTTTGCCTGGAGTATGCTAGAACATAGAGCTATGTATCCTATCATTTATACAGTAGAATTTTAAGTATTCTTTACATACTTAACATATTCGATATATTGGACCTTGTTGTTATTTTTCCCACACTTAGAGTTGTACCGTGAACAAGGGACGAAGCAATGAGAGATACTATTCTTGTATCTGGATCCTACGTTACTTTTTCTGTCAGCATTTTTGAGTATCCTTTCCCTAACCCCCTCATTCATCTTTGAGGTTCTCACAGCAGGTTACAAAGGAACAGAGATTCTTCTGAAGTGAGATGGAGAGACATTGCAATGTTAATTGACATCTGTATCTAACAGAACACATTTCTTCCTCATTTGTTGTCTGGCAAAATCTGCTCACTCATCAAGCCTCTGCTCAAATGTCACCTCCTCCATGAAGCCTTCCCTCCCCGTTGCTACTGTCAAATTTTAATTTGTATTGTACTTCATCAACAGCCACTTCTGAACTGTTACTTCTCAGGACCTAAGTCTCTGTCTCATTTGTCTTTGTACCATGGTCTCCCTTTATCTGCGATTTTGCTTTCTTTTATTATGAGTTATGGATGTTAATCTCTTAGTGTGCCTAATTCATAAACCATCATAGGTATGTAGTTATCGCAAAAACATAGTATGCATAGGGTTCAGTACTATCCGCAGTTTCAAGCATCCACTGGGGGTCTTGGAATGTATCCCCTGCAGGTATGGGGGGATGACTCTGTATTCAGGGCCTGGTGGAGTATCTGATAGAGAGCAGGTGCGCCAAAATTGTGAGTTCAAGTATTGATTGAGAAGACTTTTATTTAAGCAACCCTTGAAAACTCAACCAAAACTCAGACTTTATCTGGGTATCTTTCTTGTCTCAGGGACTGAAAGAGACATCAAAATTACAAGGATGTTGTAGACACTGTTCTTTCCTTGAGGCAGCCTTTATCTAGCAAGAGGGACATAGAGTGAAACTGTAGTTAGAGAATAGAGAACTGAAGCTTCTGTGACAGGAAGCCCAGAGGCCAAGCATTTCCCTCAACATGGGATGTCAGGAAAGCCTTCCCTGAGAAGACCAGGAGAAGGAATAGGGAATGACTTATATTTGGAGTTCACTTTATTTAATGGCACATTTCAAATTTATTTCCTCACAATCGGTCCAGAAGAAGGCAGAAGAAGCAATTGTTGCTGGGTTGTCTATGAAAACAGGAGACCTGGGGGGTGGCTTGCAGGTTGTTCTACCAGTGGTTTCAGCCTCAGTCTGAGATAAGGCAGATGAAGAGGAGGCAAATGTGAGAAGGAAATCCCCAAAACATTCCTCATTCTCTCCCTTGGTCAGAGGCAGCCTGCTGGCTTTCCCTTTCATTCAACATTGACTGTCTTGACTGGAATAATGAATGTTCTAACTAGAGAGGTGTCTCCTAGCCCAAAGTATGTCTATTTCAAAATGAAGCAGGGAGGTATATATAAGAAGAGGGTTCTAGAAGGAAAATACTTTTTCTTATTCTCGAAACCTATACTCTGAGTCTTGTGACAGGGAGAAGTAAAACTCTGTTATGAAATTGGATTAATTGATCAAGATCATTCTGGAGCAGGATTTTCTGGATCATTTAATAAATACAGTTGTGCTCTTAAGAATATTTAAGTTTTGAAATTAATATTGCATGGCCCACATCTTTTCACTATTGTGTTTTAGAATTTGAAGTCTCAATCTGCACCTTAAGAAATGTTCTCTATGAGAGAAAAATGAGAACATTTTAAAATTAGAGTGGAACATATCTATAGCAGTAGATTTTATTTTATTTAATGAAGAAATATGAACTACAGGTTTCAATAATGTTGACAATTATTTTGCTTTCTCTGTTCTAAAGAGTCTTCCTAATTGTTTTAAATTTTAGCTTCTGAATGCGGACATATAGGTATCTTGTTTTGTCCATAACAGAAGATCCATGATGAAAAGTAAATTATTTCATCTGCTGATTTAGAGAGCAAAATGGCTCTGTATGCGTATCACTACATACTTTGTTTTCTGGTACATGGATCCCACCCCCGCCAAATTCTTATACTTCGAGAATTAATAAAAGCAAATATTTATTTTTTTTTACATTCTTATTTTTATATCCTAAGATCCAAAGCTAAAAGCAACTAACAGAAACTCCTTTGAAAGGATGGATTGATTAATGAAATGTTCTACCCACCTGGCCTCAATATCCCACCTGCGCTCTTGGATCTCTTTTGGCCACATAAGGCATACTGTTCTTCTAAATCTGGAACTTCCAGTTCTTTCAGGACATTTTCTCTGCTTTCATGAATTCTCACATCGACACTTTTAATTTTCTGTCCCAAACTTTCAAGGAAGAATCCGTAGCCATTCACCACACAATATGCCCCAGTTCTTGAAGTCAAAACATTCTTCCTAAACTACATTCTGTTCTCTCATGGGAGAAATGGAGAAAAAGAGTTTCCGATATTGGTTTTCCTCCTTGCAGACTATCAAATAGTATCCTTTCAATTTCAACAAGCTTCCAGTCTTCAAAACCTCCTTTTATTAGATACCGATGTGATGCCCGTGTTACACAGCCCATTTCCTATTTTATCAGTTGTCAAGAAGCTGCACATTCATTTTTGTGCAAAACAAGGAGTACCCAGTTTTAATATTTGTTTTGGGATACAACTATCATACCCCTTCATCATCACAAGATTAATATTTCTTTACCTTTATTTTATGGGTCCTGTTTCATTTAAGTCTTTTCTTATGAGCTGTCAAAAATCCTTTTTGGGGAGAAGTTGAGATATAAATAATACATTGATAAAATAATTCATGATTAAAGAGAAGATAGAATCCATCCCTCTTCTGCTAACATAACAGTAGCAAATATCGAAAGACTACATTAACAATAGCGTGTAATATATTGCTATATATAATTATACACCCATCTATTTGCCACCTTGATTTTGAATTTACTGGCAATTTTAGGGGATATTCATGTGTGTAGTTAATATTACTGAACAGAGCTTTTAAACTGAGTTTTTAATTAGAACAGTAAAAAGTTGCTTTAGGGCAATAATGAGAACCTCACAGGAAAACTGAGCAGTCGTGGTAATTCTAATAGCGAACAAGTGTAGAATACTTGAGCGGACCACTAGAAGTTCTGTCTGTGCCCCAGGTGGAAGTCATTCGAACTGTTTATTCCCCCCACACCCACATACACATGCACGCGCGTGTGCACACACACCCATCCTGAGATGCACACCTGACTATGAAAATAAATAAGCGGACCCCTCCGCTAACGATTGTGTTACTCTGTTTCAGGCCGGGGCTGATCTTTTGAAGCTGATGAGCAAAATAGCTTCCCATAAAAGATAATTTCATTTGCCAAAATGAAACTACTTTCTGTTATTAATGCTGTAATGAAATGGCCTGAAATATGAATCAGGGATCTCAACAGGAAGGATGCTCCCGTTCCCAGCTCCGGGAGGGAGTTCTCTAAACAATTACACCCACGGAGAGGGCTGTACAGTTGTATTTTCATCACTGGCCAGTTGAGCTGTGTGGCTGTCATACGTTCCAGTCTCCCCTCCAGTGACAGCCGCATTGACAACATGTTATACTCCACATTGATTTTACAGTTAAGGAGCTGATTGTGATATATAGGGATTTTAAGAATTCAGCTGAGAGGCTGACTTTTGCCTTTTATCATTCCATTAAAATTTTATAACCATCTTTTTCATGTCATTTCATCCATGAATTCTTACTTTAGAAAGTGATAGCTACCACTGTGAGCATAACTTTTCTCATGTTCAGAGCTTTTTATTGTATTAGCAAACTACCCCAATTATAGTTATTACTCATGTTTTACATAATTGTGGTGACCCTTTCCACCATGCAGGAGCATGCCAGTTGATTTGTATATAGAATTAGATGATTCGGCTTATCATTTTAAAGCATTAAATTGAAAGAGTGCCAGGAGTCAGGTTTTAACACTTCCCTGGCCAAAGGAGCTAATTAAGCTCCTTTCAGCTTTCTCTACTGAATCACACAAGTTTAAGGACCCTTCTTGCAACAAGAGCAGGGAGCCAACTCAGCCAGAGGGGGAAGCTAATAAAATGTATGCTGGCTTTTAAGGGGCGGGGGCGGGGCACGAAATTGAAATTGAACATTTCATCTTTCCCAAGATAAGAGATCATCTTTAAGGAAAGCCTGTGTTCTGGGAGAGTTTGAAGTGCTAGTTCATCTCGTGACCATAGATGTTTCACCTATAAAACTACCATCAGATTCAGGAGAAAAAAAAGGTGTATCCCTATCCTCAGAGGAAGCAAACTCTTTCGTTGTTTCTTTTCTCTGAAGAAGCTCACAGTTTAAGAGTGCACAAATGAGGAATTAACTAATAATTAACTAAGCAAGACTCTGCTAGAAACCCTCATAGAAACTCTCCCGATTCTTAAATGTAGATTATTCTTTTGGGGGAGGGAGGGGGAGTGGTGAGATAGGGTAAGGCAATAAAGACTAGAATCCCCTTCTTTGATTTTAGGGACCCCAATGTCAGAGGATCCGGTTTTCCAAAATGACACTGGCATCTTGTAAGACTCACACTTACCTTCCTTTAGGAAAAGCCAAATCTGGATGACGAGTGTAAATAAGCAAGGATCTGTATCCTTACAGTGATCTATTAATTGCGGCCACTACTATCTATTCAGAGAATAAAAGAAATGTCACAGTGGTTTTAAGAAAGCTTTAAAATGAAAGCTAACAACAGATTAACGTGGAAAATATGATCCTTATCAAAATCACTGTACTTTTAGGATTTTTCTCCTTCAAATCAGATGCATTACCAAATTGTCGGGAACGGCTTGATTTCAGGGTGAGAGCACTATAACATCTTCCCTCTCAAAAAGTAATTAAGTTTCGACCGTCAGTCCGGTTGGCGACAAATGTGGGTCGTGTTTTGTGAAAGTGGGCTCGTTTTCGTGCCCATATAACCCAGCTATTATTGTAATCACTGGCTTTAAGAAGCAGCGGTTGCATCTAAAATTTAAACCTGGGGTGTAACACTGAATCACACACACACACACTCACATAATCAACGCTGTTTTAAACAATTACTAAATCCAAGTATATCTTCTTTAAAGATTTTCAATAAAATCTAATGTTCACAGAAAAATCTCATAAATGTCAAAATTGCTATGGGCAGAAAAGGGGGATATAGTATTTTCTTGATCTGTTGTAGCAATTTATAGATTTCAGGCCGTGGTTTATAAGAATGCTAAATGTTCTGGAATTACAGCTGTTACTGATCAGTGATTGAGCCAGATTTGTGTTATTGCACCATGTTCTTGCTTGTACCTAGAGAGCAGTAAAGCCTCCATATAATAAAAAGCACCTGCATTTTAAATGAAATTTCAATTGAAAAACTTAACAGCCCTTCAAATTGCAGAATTTAACGCAGCCCAGTAAAGCTTAAATAACACTTTGCCTCCGCAGGCTGAGGGGTTTGCATTCAAGGTGACTTGATTGTGTCGCATGGTGAAATTATTTACAATTAAGGAATTTCTCTGGAGGGCTGCAGAATATTTGCTGTTCCACAACACCTAAGCAGGCATATGGTGGGCCTTTTTCAGTATTCATGGAGCCTCCTGAACCTTTATGATAATTGAATCAGTTAGAGTGCTGAGCGGAGCAAGCATAAAACCTGTTAACCTAAAGGTCAGATCTGTGCATTGTTTATTTATCAGTAGGTGAAAGAGCTAAATCGGCAGCTTCTGTCACAGTCGCAGTAAAAAATCACCTATAATATTAACAGGGAGTAGATAAATTGCAAAACATGGATTAGAATGATAAACAGAACTAGGTATAATATGGAATATATAATGAGAGATGCTGAAGGATTTTACTGGGCTGTAAAATATGCAGGTTTGTTATGATAGCGTTAGTGATTATAATTAGTTGCTGGGGCTCTAGAAAAATGGAACTTTGGTTACGGCAGCCCTCTGGTATCATTCTGTTTTAACACCTTTACTGCAGAAAAGTCTGCTTCATATGTTTAATCATTAGCTTAAGAAAGACAAATGAATTTGATGAAATTCTCTTAGAAAGGAAAAATGACAATTGAGCTCCATAATATTCAACTAGTACTTCCCATACATTTAAGGACAAAGCAGTCACAGTCCTTGTCTCTACTGTCCTATGACATCTATTTACTTTCTAATTGGCCTTTGCCAAGTGTCCAATTTCATACTTGTACAGAAGAGTTATCATTCATTTTAGTTTTATTTTGAAGAGATGGGGGAAGTTTGCAAGAGATAATCACTTTTTGTATTTATGCCACTTTATAGAACCTGGACCTATGGACCCTCCAATTCTTCTGGATGTGAAGTCAAGAATGATGTTGGTCACCTGGCAGCATCCTTTAAAGTGCAATGGGGTCATTACCCATTATAACATTTACCAACATGGCCACCTCTCCCTGAAAACTTCTGGAAATATCACTAATTGCACAGTGATCGATTTGCGCCCATATACTGCCTATAAGTTCCAGGTAGAAGCCTGTACTATGAAAGGATGTTCCCTCTCTCCAGAGTCCCAGACTGTAAGGACACTCCCAGATGCACCGGAAGATATCCCAAGTCCAGAGCTGTTCTCTGATACCCCAACATCTGTGATTATATCTTGGCATCTTCCCAAGCACCCCAATGGCTTGGTGGAGAACTTCACAATTGACAGAAGAGTCCAAGGGGAGGAAGAAGTTACTACCCTGGTGACTCTCCCAAGAAGTCATTCCATGAGGTATATTGACAAGACTTCTGCTCTTAGCCCATGGACAAAATATGAATACAGGGTAGTAATGAGCACTGTTAATGGAGGTACAAATAGCAGTGCTTGGGTAGAAGTGACCACGAGACCCTCACGACCTGCTGGGGTACAGCCACCCGTGGTGCGTGTGCTAGGACCTGATTCAGCCGAGGTAAGACACTGAGTGTTCTTTCTCCTTTGCAGACTTCGGAATTTACCCTTCATTGACTCTGTGTTGAACAGAGCCATCTACTGACAAAAGGCACACATTTGTTGTTTTAGGCATTCGCTGGAGAAACTGGGTTTTGGCCTTTGGCCCAAACTATCTTGAATTCGATGTCAGTTTTTCATTTCTCCCTGTATCCCCTTAATTATATTGTTGAGATGCTTCCATTTGCCTCACACACCTGAAATACTTTGAATGTCACAATGGGATGCTTAGCTTAACCACCACGTCAGATTTAAATAGATCAGAAAATGAGAAGAGATGGGAAAATGCAGACGAATGGATTAGCATACTAACAAAAGTTCCAATTACCAATATTCTGATTTTTTTTAATGATCAAAGAATCAAAACGATGGGGAAAGAAATAAAAATAGCATATTACTGGGCTATCTAGAAAGTGTTCAGTTATTCACTTCATTCTACTGGGAATGAACTCTGGAGGACAGGATAACTACCATTGTTTTGGCTTGCATACAAACTTCATTCAAGGGAAATTAGTGTAACCAAACAGGAGGGAGTTTTGTAGCTTAGAAGCCTCTTTTGTGTAAATACACACATGCTTCCATGGATTCAGTCTTGTACTACTGCCAAAAGTATTGGTACAGTAGCTTGCTCACCAGAGCACAAAACAAAGGATATTTGCATAACAGCAAAGTTCATCTGTTGAAATTATTACTTGGATCTATGTTGTGTGTTCTCTCTCCCCCACAAAAGCAAACACTAGATGTTGCTAAACAGTATAGATTGTTGAAGAAATTTAATTTGACCTGCAAACTAAGAGCTATTTTTAAAAGCCCTTTTTTAGCTTCAATGAGAGACTAGCAAAGCAACACACCTTTTTGATAGAAATATCAAAAGTATATCAAATTCTGTTGAGCACCCACTAAAAGGAAATTAATTTGAAGTACATGGCATATAATGTTTATTAGACAGATTGGGCAACCTTAAGAATCGCTCTTCATTCAAAAGAAAAACCAAACCAAACCAAACAAAATCCCAGACAAACCTAGAGTCATTAATCATTCCAGAAATAACTTTTTGTTTTAATCCTGAGGGAATCTTACAGAACTTCAGTAGCAATACCAATCGATACAATGCGACTTATGCACTGTCCCTTCTCAAAGGCAAAGCTACATATGTACTGGACATTTTTCTGGATCCTCTATGACAAAAATTTAATAACTAGTCAGATCTGAAAAAAAGAACAAATATTTTCAGAAGAGTAATGTCTCCATGCACAATGCTACTTAATTTGGCATATATAAATAATGATCAAAAGTACCCAAAACAAGTGGCCTTGCTTTTTCTTCTTCTTCTTCTTTTTTTTAATTCCCACTTTTGGTTTGGTAACCTCATCCCAGGATGAAACAATGTACATGGCTTGTCGGCTTGCTTGACTAAAGTTTAGATTAGCTTGGCTGGGGAGCTCAATGTCCCAGGCTCTCGCCTACCAGGTCAGGAATCTCAAATCTCTAAGAAGGTACCTGAAGTATATGGCCGTGGTACATTAACAGAAGTTTTTTTTTTTTAAATCATAATTTTAAATCATTAATTAATTCTCATTATATTTATATCTAGAAAAGAAAAAGTTATCAATGGAGAGACTCTTCAGGAATATTCAACTGAATCTAGTTTAGGCTGATACATATTTAAATATTAAAGTGACATATTTGTGCTTCAATATAATTGGCTCACATTATGTTCAGAACGATCTCAAAATTGCTAAACTACATCTTCCAGTGATACTGCTTACCTGACACACAAAAGCATGTGACTGCAGTAGAGTGATTTCTCTCTGTAAAACATGAGATCTAAAAGTTAAAATTGCGTATACGTGAGATATTAATGACAAGTATTGTCATTAATGCACCGGTTAAGAAATTGATTCGACATTTACCACATAGAGTCATTCTGAGTATTAGGATGAAGGAAATCGTCACTAATATTAACAGCAACAACAATAGTAACTTCAGTTCTGCTAACATTTATTGAGCAGGGACATACCTTCATGAGTGCCTTTTTAAGCACTGAGGATACACCAGAGACCAAAACAGAATCCTTACTTTCATGGAACTTACATTTTAGACAGAACTACACGAATAAATATATAATATGCTCAGAAGTGACAAGGACTTGGTTGAAAAAAAAAATCAGCTTAAGAGGAATAAAGAATACAGTCAATAGGGTGGGGGAGAACAGGACTGGCCTGGTATTTCTCCCTAGTTCTTTCTATATTGGGCCATATGTTCTGTTTACCACTACCCCATCCTGCCTGTCAGAAGTCATGATCTAACAAGGAATGCAGGGAAAACTCTATATACTTACTTAGGTCAAACAGAAAACAAATAACATGATAATAAGTGCAAAAAGGTGATATGACTTGGCATACATTTGAACTTTAAGAAGGGAAAATTGGAGAGCACAGCTGTATATCAAAGTCATATTCTTAATTCTGTTTTTGATTATTTGATTATAAAGAAAATAAATAATATATGATGTCAGAGAGGTTATCTAAAAAAGTAAAAACCATGCAGGTTTATTTGGTATTTAATCATGTAAGAAAATTCATTGCATTTTCTAAAGTTGGCAAAAGTGCTCTACTAAAACTTGAAAAAGATAGTTCGGTAGAACTATAGACTAATTTCATATATGAATATAGATTCAGAACTTTTCAATAAAATATTAGCAAATTGAATCAAGGAGTATATTAAAAGAATGACATGCCAGGAGACATTTGGCTTGACTCCAAAAATGTAAGGATGGTTTAATGTCATGACATCTATCAACATACTTCCTAAGTCAACTGAAAGAAATATAAAGTCGATTTCTAGGATTGCTGGTGTTTAAGACTCAACTGTTCACTTTATAAAAGTGCAAGATTTACAAGGTTGCTTATAAAGGTTTAGAGGTTGCTATACTGAAGTATTTTATTTTGTTTTGTTTTTAATTTTTTTCATTTATTTATTTGTTTTTCCTCACCATAGCACATACCCTCCCCAATGTCCATCACCTAGCCACCCCATAGCTTCCATCCCCCTCTCCTCCAGCAACCCTCAGTTTATTTCCCAAGATTAAGAGTCTTTTATGGTTTGTCTCCCTCTCTGGTTTCATCTTGTTTCATTTTTCCCTCCCTTCCCCTATGATCCTCTGTCTTGTTTCTCAAATTCCTCATGTCGGTGAGATCATATGATAATTGTCTTTCTCTGATTGGCTTATTTTGCTTAGCATAATACCCTCTAGTTCCATCCACGTCATTGCAAATGGCAAGATTTGGGGTTTTTGTTTTTTGGGTTTTTTTTAATGGTCTTGAGTACAATTGAGGACTAATAGAAAATAAAACATGCAGTTATGTCGTGTAACTGTGATGTGGCAAAAAAAAACTTCGATGGTGATGACTCAAGCACAGCCCCACCTTCCACAGCTAAAGCAGAATGAAAGACAAAAGGTCTGCAGTTCTCAGTCTTCAAGTGTCAGAGCTTTCGCTCCGCTCAGACTGCTAAAGACACCCACTGTGATCATGGGCTACAAGGAGTAGCAATGTCCACCAGATTCTGTCCATGCATTGTGTTACTAGGGTGTATACTCTTAGTGTCGCTCATTTACAAATCTGATAATAACCCAAAGTAAAAAGAGTTGTCTTAATCACCATTTTATCACCCATTCATGAAGGTGGGCCTGTCATTGATGTCTGCTTAAATCAAATAATAATATATATTATTTATATATATTTGTAGTATCTTATGGAAGAAAATGAAATAGCAATGATGACTACTATTTACCAAGTTCATATTAAGTTCTAGGAATTGCTCTCATTCAATGCTTAATCCACCTCTAGCAAAGAGATACTATTACTATCCCCATTTCATAGGCAGGAATACTGGGAATTAAAAATAGAAGTAACCGGGGCACCTGGGTGGCTTAGTGGGTTAAGCTTCAGCCTTCGCCTCAGGTCATGATCTCAGGGTCCTGGGATCGAGACCCTCGTCGGGCTCTCTGCTCAACAGAGAGCTTGGTTCCCCCTCTCCTTCTGCCTGCCTCTCTGCCTACTTATGATCTCTCTCTCTGTGTCAAATAAATAAATAAAATCTTAAAAAAAATAAAAGAATAGAAGTAACCTACCTAAGATTACATATGGAGAAGAGCTGGGATTCACCCCAAAGCAATATGGTGGTTCTAAGAGCCCATGCTGTTCTCAACTTCTTTACACTGCAACAGAAGGAGACTATGCTGTCTTCCTGGGTGAAAGGACTTAATTCCACAGTAAGTTAATCCTTCCAAGGTTGACATATACACCTAACATCAATCAAATCAGACTGCCAATAATGTTTTGTTTCAAACTGGATAAAATGATTTTAAGTTATATAAAGAAGGCTAAATGGTCAAACTAGTCCAGAAAATTGTGAAAGAAAAAAATGCCAAGGTGACATCTTCAGTATTTCAACTTATCATAAAGCTACTGAATCATGACATGGTATGGTATTAGCATAACAACAGACAAATGATCACTTGAGCAGACTAGAGGTTAGATACAGATACAAGTATACGTGAGAACTTAACTTATTGTAGAAGCAACATTTTATTTCAGTGGGAAATAATGTTTTTAAAAAAATAGCACTGGCCTGACAGTCCATGTGTAAGAAAAAAAGATCTTTCTATTATAACTAAATTCCAATAAATTAAAATTTTAATGTGAAAAAATAGCTTAGAAAAAGAATTTTATATCATTTAAAGATTAGACAGATCTTTCCAAAGAAAAACAAAACAAAACAAAAAACAGAAACTATGACTTAAAGGAAAAGCTAAGGGCACCTAGCTGAAGGGTCTGCCTTCAGCTCACATCATGATCCTGGGGTTCTGGGATTAGAGCCCCATGTTGGTTGGGCTCCCTGTTCAGAGGGGAGCCTGCTCCTCTCTCTCCCTCTGCCCCTCCCCACCCTGCTCATGCACTCTCTCTAATAAATAAATTAAATCTTTAAAATTAAAGAAAAAGAAAAGATTTTTTAAAAAAGAAAAATAATTATATATAGCTAGAAAATAATTTGATTGTTTCTTGCTGGCCATAAGACTCCCTCAAAAAAGAAAAAAACAAAACAAAAAAAACGTTAAACTCCAAGAGATAGATTGGTAAAATACAGCTGTAACACACATTATAGAAAAATAGGTTATTTCCCCATAATATACAAAGAACTTCTAATAATTTAACATAAAATGGTAATTCAATAGGAAATAATGTGCAAAATATGGATAATTTAGAGGGGAGATATGCAAAGGGTCAATAATATTTGGAAATATTTATCCCTTGCCAAAAATGTCAAGAGAATGCGGGGGCACCTGGGTGGTTCAGTGGGTTAAGGCCTCTGCCTTCGGCTCGGGTCATGATCCCAGGGTCCTGGGATCGAGCCCCACATTGGGCTCTCTTCTCGTCAGGGAGCCTGCTTCCTCCTCCCTCTGCCTGCCTCTACCTGCTTGTGATTTCTGTCTGTCAAATAAATAAATAAAATCTTAAAAAAAAAAATCAAGAGAATGCAAACTAATTAGAGAAATAAGTAATAATTAAGAAATAGAGAAATAATAAAGTAATAAGCAAATACTGAAAGGAGTGGTAATTTTAATAGTTTATGAGGAAGCAGATCATGGAAACTTTTCTTTCATTGTCTGTGAAAAAGTGAATTACCTCAACCTTTTAGAAAGTAATCCCTCAATAATGATTAAAATTAAACATAATATAGCTTCTGGCATAGCAATTCTTGCTAATCTGTCCAATAAAAAACAAATACAACAATATATATGCATATATTTTCAAATATTGTTTTTAGCAGTAAGAAAATGTCATTGGGTTAAAAATTGAATAATTTGTTTTCAGTCATGAAAGGAATATTATGTAACAGAAAAAGAATGAGTCTGTCCTCTTGTTAAGTGTAAAAATTAAGTTGCAGATTAACAGGTATAGAATAAACATATCTTGTAAAAATTTTAAAAAGAGAAAGGTTATATATGTGTGGGTATAGTTGCTTTAGTTATATGAGCATACTAGAAAGTATGGGAGGATATATCCCAAAATATTACCTATTCCTTTTAAGAGGGTAGCTGGCAGTGGAGAGGAATGGGAAGAAGGTAGAGGTGAAAGACCATAATCAACTATATATCTATATCTATATCTATATCTATATCTATATCATCTATATCTACATATATTATAAATATATAAATACTATACATATATACTCTTTCTCTAGTTTTAAAATGCAAATCTAATATCTGAAATGAGAAAATAATGTTAACAATTTTAAAAGAAAGCGATGACATTTTGAAAGAGAAAATTTAATTTTATTTCAACAAATATTTTATTGTACAATTTATTCCATGTGAGAAGCTTTGCAAGGGAGTCCTTTGTTAAGAGGAATTGCTATATGGAGTCAAGTATTCCACACTGTTGGTCCTTGTATATCCATATGTTGTATTGATTAAGTAGTCTTAGAGTTATGTAATCACATGTAGACATGAAGCCTTCCAAAAAATAACTGAAAAGAAAACTGGAAATCTAAGAAGCACTCAACTAAAAAATAATTATGGTAGGCAAGACACCTCTGAAATAAGCATTTTATTTCTAGCCAATAACTATAATTCTATGTAACAGATTTCAATGTAAAATTACTATTTTAGAGAACATCTATCTGTCTATCTGTCACTTATTCAGGTCAGGAAGAGACTCTTTGGTGCTAGTTTTCTGGGATTCGGCAATACTCCATAATCCTTCCTGTGGCCCATGTATATAAAAAAAACCATGGGACGTTAAACTGAAAGTGTTAATCTCATACATTTTGGCCATACTATAGTAAATATGGTCTAAAGCCTTGGAAAGAATAGAATACAATATTTAGCTAGCTGGCTCCTTAAAATCTTAGACACATTTATTTTTAATAATGGCTGCAGGGTATTTTCAGGAAGGTAATCCAATTAGATGCCACTTCTGTTAGCTTACTGACCATAAGGACAATTGCCTTCTCCACGTAAAAGTCCTTCGAAAAATTTCTGTAGAAGTAGATTCATGTCTTCCAATTCAATACTGTCAAAAAGACATTTTCTTTCTAACTTTTTAAATGAGAAAAATAGTTCATTTCTAGATGTAAACATTTATAGTACAGAAAATTGGATTTTTTTTCCCCAAAGATCAAATGACTATCTCCAGTGTCATTACATCCAGTCTCTTAACCTCTTCTGGATATCTTATCCAAGATTTATCTCTTTATTTTAAAGATTTTATTTAATTTGAGAGAGAGAGAGCATGAGCATGCGTGGGGTGAGGGTCAGAGAGAGAGAGGGAGATGCAGAGTCCCTACTGAGCAAGAAGCCCCACACAGGGCTTGCTCCCAGGACTCTGGAATCATGACCTGAGCTGAAGGCAGATGCTTAACCGAGTGAGCAACCCAAGCACCCTTCAAGTTTTATGTTATGAATGGTTTTTCTCAGCCTCAATACCAAGTTCCAAATCAATTTACTATTAGCTCAACTGCAGAGTCTCCTAAGTTTTCATTCTTTCGAGTGCTGCCAGACCTTGACCTGAACTCGGAATGTTCTGGCTTGAGAGGCAAAGAAGTGGTATTCCACATATCAGTAGGGTTGAATTTAGCAATCATAACTCTTCCATTTTTCATGTACGTGACAAGTATCAAGAAGCCCTGAGTTTGACCTTGACTCCTTGTTTTGTGTCCACTGAGCATTGCACCTCCAAAACAAATAGAATCCTGTATCTTTTCTACAACCTTTGCTCTTCAGGTTTCTTTGATCTTCCCTACATGCAGACACATCCGCTATGCTCATAAGGAACACATTTAAACCTTCTTTTCGCCCTAGCACAGTGTGGGCCACTCCAAGAAGTTTTTAAAATTAACAATTGCAAGCCATGTAGTAAAATCTGAATAGATACTGGGTCATTGCTAATTATAAATTAGGACACAGTCATCAAGCAACTAGACAACTGACATGTGGTGGGAGCCCATTTTGTTGCCACTTATTAGTAAGAACGCCCTCTGAAAATCCCAGGTGATATTCCTTCTGGAAGAAACTCTTTTCCCTTTGATTTAAGATAGAAAATGTTGGTCAGTCCTTCTCTATCCTAATTTTTGTTACTTTTTTCTGACTTTGATTTTGTATAGAGTTACAAATGTGGCTATCGATATATATTTACTCTGGAAATATGTCTTTTAAATTTTCAAAATAACTATGCTCAGGGAAAACATATAATCTAATCAGCTGTGAGTACAGTTACTTACTGAATTCTATCTCCGTGTGCATGGCATTAAATGGGCATACAATTTAGGCCCTGCCATCAAGAAGCTTACAGGCTATTTAGGAGATGAAATATATACTCCAAAATTTAAGGGACATTGCAAGACAATGATAAGAGAGGAACCAGAATAGTATGTAAAAAAGTGATTTTTTTAATGGCCTATATACATTTTTCTAGGGTTCTTTTACCCCCAAAACATGAGCATACTCATACGCTTAAGTACCACTATAGCCTTAAAAAAATTAGGCAAAAAAAAAAAAAAAAGGAATATTAAACATTGTAATATTCCACTATAAAATGTTTCTTTTTTTCTGGTGCTCAGGCCCATGTGTTAGTTAAACAGGATCATCCTTTGCTTGCCTTTTTCAAGGCTTATCTCTTATATCTGAGACTAGAATTTGCTGCTGCTTTACTTTCTACATGATGCACGTGTGAGATTCAGAAACTCAATTGTGCATCCTCAGAAAATGCAAAGTCTCATTCCTTCTCACCATCAAAAAAAAAAGTAGTGACATATTTAGAGTACATACTAATAATGCAAAGCGGGGAGTTCTGATGTTTCATTTAATTGAGTTATAAACAAGAAAACTGTCAAATCCTGCTGCTGCCCCATTGATGCCTGTGGATGTGTGAATTTCCTCCATGTGTGTGCTCTGTGTCCTTTAGAACACCCGCAGTGGAGATGAATCACTAAGGTGTGTATTAGTCTGACAGTCCTAGAAAGTATCACGACGAAAAGCCAAACCCAGGAAACAGCATTTCATGTAGTTCCTGGTGTACTGCTAATTGATCCCAAACCTTTCATTACTGTCTAGTGCAAAAGGCTAAGTCGAAAGGAGGCATTTAGAAAGTGGCTTAACTGAAAACAAGGCACGGCAAAATTCTAGGTCTTGTGAACTTCACTTGCTCTGTTCGTATGTTGTCACACTGATTCTAAATTTATCTTTTACTTCAGGTCACTTGGAAACCCCCACTCATGCAGAATGGAGACCTGCTTCGCTATGAGATCCACATGCCGGATCCTCGTATCACAATAACCAATGTGACTCCCTCAGTGTTAAGTCAAATAATTACTCATCTGATTCCTTTCACTAATTACTCTGTCACCATTGTGGCTTGCTCAGGAGGTAACGGGTACCTAGGAGGGTGCACAGAGAGTTTACCTACCCATGTTACCACCCACCCAACACTACCTCAGGGCATTAACCCACTGTTGGTGGTTCCACTAAGTGAATCATATGTTGGAATTTCGTGGCAGCCACCATCCAGACCAAATGGACCCAATTTGAGGTAAGAGAAAGTGCATTTGGATTTTGCTATGGTCTTATCTCCAGGAAGGAAGGAAGGAAGGAAGGAAGGAAAGAAAGAAGGAAGGAAGGAAGGAAGGAAGGAAGGAAGGGAGGCTTTTACTCACGTATGAATGTAGAACTAATTCCTAATTGGATACCCCCACTCTTAACTTGAATACAATTTCATATTGTATATCTCGACGTATATGGAGCCATAGAAGTTCGAGATAAGAATATAATTTTGTGAAGCTCTCAAACCCCTTCAAACAACAATCACTGATCTCTAACAATTTTTGATGTAATCCTTCTCTTGATTTTCAGAATATGTTTTTATTATATGTTAGACAAACTCGATGCCTGTTCTGAATGATACATTTACACAAAAATGTCTCAGAATTCTGAAGCTAACACAATAATTCTCTGGCAGGGTATTATTATCTGGAAACTTGTAAAGAATGTGGTCAGGGACATAGATAAGATGAAAGAAACGTGTGTGATTCTGAAATAGCTTTTTAACAATCTCGACACTCAGCCAAGAGTAGCAAGTTGATAATATTATCATTATTTATAAAGCACTGATGGGTTGATGTCTTAGAAAACCATTAACTTTATAAGCATTTTGTATTTCCACTTTGTGTGAAACTGGTGATAATGTTTTGGCAAATCTGAAATAGAAGAAATCTAAAATGTTATCATTCTTACTGATAATAGTAAAATGTGAATGTAGCTGATTGTTTCAAAATAATTGAATACCTAAAACTTGAGCCAGAAGACAGTGATTACCTGGAAAAAAAAACTTCATGATTGTAAATTAAGATGTTTTCTTTTCGTTTATGTGCACACACTAGACACTCATGCTATGCAACAACCTGAGTTTTGGTAATAACATTAGTTGAGATAATCCCAATGTTTCTGCTTGTCTTTTGCTTTAGATATGAGCTTCTGAGACGTAAAATCCAGCAACCACTTGCATCAAATCCCCCAGAAGATTTAAATCTGTGGCACAATATTTATTCAGGAATTCAGTGGTTTTATGAAGATAAGGGTCTTAGCAGGTGAGATTACAAAAACTATAAAAACAAATGCTGGCATTTAGTCTTGAGCACGTTGACTAGTTCAGAGTATCTTTGTGTCTTCATTGTGTGCGCATGTTATCAGTTGTGCAATAAAACATGTTCGGTGATTATCTGTGGCATTAATCATCGAACTGCAACAGTCAGCATGTTTCATGTTTGCCATCTTAACTGTACACTTAAAATAAGCCTTTTGAATTCGAACTTGTACATGTTTAAGCTCTAGCAAGACATGAAAACTTAATAGAGGAATTTGGAAAAACTGAACATCTATAAATGGGGGAGAAGGGGAGAATGACTGGGCACTTACCAAATGCTTAGTACTTCTGGAAAATAATTGTTACAAGTCACTGATCCAACCCCCAAAAACTGTTTAGTTGGCACACCTCACATTTGAAAGAATTCAGCATAGGGTTTAAAGGAACCAGGAGACAGGCAAACAGGATGTCAGCAAAGAGCACCTTGTGGGAGAGCCCGCTGACCTGGGTGCGTTTCATCCAGCACTGGAGAACCAGGTTTGGGACTTCATGCAAGTCATGTAACTTCTCCAGGCTTAACTTTTGTCGATAAAATGAAGAGATTGGACAGAATTGAATGATTTCTCCGCTTTGATGAGTCCAAGCAATGTAATCAAATCACCAGAAAACAAAACAAAACAAAAACCCACAAATAGTGTTTTATGAATGCTTTTCAGACGTGTTTTTCAATAACTTTTCTATAAGCTTTATTATTTTCCTGGACTCACCACTGACTGGTTCTACTCTGACCGCTGTGTACAGCTCTGGCCTTGCCTCCCTCCTCGTCCTCACCTAGGCTTGGCCCAGCCTCGTTCACCTCACTTCCAGGGCCTGTGATGTGCCACACTTCCTGGCTCAGCTTCTCCCCGTACTGCCCTCTCTCTTTGTCTGACCAGCTTATCCATCTCATGCTGGCCAGGAAGTTTCCTAGTGGGCTTTCCTGCCCACTCTTCCTGGCCTGACTCAGCTGCCCCTCCGTATTCTTACAACACCCTCACGTATCACTAGAGTCAGTAATGTACTGGCCTGGGGACTTGTCTGGACACCCCATGGTGTTGTCAGATCCACCCTGACGCAGGGTCTTTGCTTTCATGACTTCTGAACCTTCAGTCCCTAGACTACTGTCTGCACATCCTAGGCCCAGGAATAGTTGTTAAATGAAAGAATACGTCAACTCAGGAAACGGTGGGTTATTTCATTTCTCTGTGCCTTAGGAATGTTAATTGTATTGTTATTCTCTTTAGGGGAATGGATAGAACTAGGGAAAATCTCCATCCTTCTTAAAGGATTGTGATGGGAAAACCTTATGGATATTGTAAGGTTCTGGGGGTTGGGGAGGTAGCATGAATCTGATGAAGCTATAGAGTGAACCACAGGAAATTGCCATTTTTTGGTAAGTCGACCTAAATTATCATGGTCACTAGACTGTTCACTATTTTTAATTATTTACTTCATCCAACATCATTCTATGATTACCACTTCAGTTGAAGAAATTCATGTATTTAGCAATTTCTTCTTGCTGAAAGGCACTAGGATAAGACAAAAATGAATTCAGCATAACCCCTGGCCTCAAAGACCTCACTCAGTCTAGTGGAGGAAAACACACCACTCCCACGGCTATGTGTGTACTAATTGCTTTTTTAAAAAAAGATTTTATTTATTTATTTGAGAGAGAAAGAGCATGGCGGGGGAAGGGTGGAGTGGGGGTCAATCCCAGGACCCTGGGATCAAGACCTGAGCCAAAGGCACATGCTTAACCAAATGAGCAACCCAGGCGCCCTTGTATTAATTTCTGTCATCCCAGTTCGCTACTTAGTCACCAGTACTGCAAAGGGAAATCATATAGAAAAGTAACTTTCTACAATCTGTGAACTCTGAAGGCCTTAAATATACCATTTCTAAAATAAACAGACCTTGACTATTTAACATAACTGAATCAGATGTTTAGCCATGAGATGTTTGAAAAAGAGAATAAACCTCAGAAAATTAATGTTTCTTTGTAGAAGAAATGAAAAGTTATAAAAGAGAGCCAAAGCCAAATATTTATTATTGAAAATTTAGTGATACCTCTAAGAATTTTTAATGAGAAGTCCAAATCTAAGATCTAAGAAAAGAGATATAGTTCAATCCCCAGAAATCAAGTTGAAATGTAAGGTGACATAAACATAGGGATGACAGTTATTTCTAAAAGGGAGGTATACATCTAACAAAATATGCTGAGTGGTATTTTGACTAGCATCATAATACTAAATGCCAAGGGATTTTTTTTTTTTCCTGCTAAGACTATAAAAAAAAAAAAAAATCTTTTTTATTCAAATAACTGCTATGACCCATGTAAGCAGCTTGTGGTAGAAAACAATATGCATTTCTTTTTAGCATTAAAAATAAACAGTGTGAGTCTTCATATGACGAGAACTTTTTTTTCTAGCCCTCTACCCTTTGTAAGTCCAAAAAAAAAAAAAAAAAAGTCTAGGGTCCCTTTCAGCCTGTGGAGGGTTCTCTCACAGCTCTGAGAGAAAACTGGAAATTAGTCCACTGATGGGCACTGTGTGCTGTGACCGTTCTTCTTTTACGAAGTGATCTTTCTCAGTAGAGGCTGCCATTACCCACCTTGACTGCTAGCAGCTAGGGCTCACGGCCCCTGCTGGTAAGCCAGGGGTCTCTCAGACTGCAGAGGGGAGGACCCGAGCTCTCAGCTCACTTTGTTACACACCTGTCTCACAGCTCCTTAATGACCCTACCCTTTGGCTTTTGTTTTCTTGACTTATTTGTTTGGTTGCTATTTTTTGGAGTGGGGAGGACTAATTGAATTCTAAAGCCTTTTAGAGAACAAGCAGTTTCCTATTCTCCTCAGACTCCATCATTCCTTCTTTCTTTCTTATCTTACATATACATAAATAAGTGGAACACTGAAGTGTCTCTCTCCATCTTGACCTGATATCACCACAGCTATATCTAGAATCCGTTTTTAAAATGGCACTTTTCTTGATATAAAAAGTAAAATTAAGATTCACTGGGCATCCCTTTATGAATGTATCTGTGAGTGTAAATATAAAGTAAAGTCAATTTCGTTGGTCAAATGATCTATTTTGGTTAGCTGTATGTTTATGATAGAAAACACACCAATTTAATATAAATTATTATTATATTCTGAAGTTCAAATCATTCTAGTTGTTATTTTTCCCCTTTTTATCTCCATGTACAGAATAGAATATTCTGAGCTAATTATCTAAATAATTTAGTTTAAACAAAAATAGTTTTGTTCCTATGATTGTCTTAGGTAAGGGGTGATTTTATCTGAGCTACACAGTTAAGTTGTCTCATTATTGAATTTTTGCTCTATGTAGACGTGAATTCCGTGTAACCGTAAGTTTATATGATTTGTCAGTTTCTAACTTTTCTTCCTTAATAATTCTGCAAAATAGTCAAGTTATGGTTGTTGGGGGAACCATAACTTTGGGTTCCCTGACATTTTCATCACTTGGAAAACCTGGTGAACATGCTGTTATTATCTGATGCTGTGGTGAGCCAGGCAGGGTTTAATGGGGGGCAGCGACCTCCTCATTGTAAACATCAGCCTACCCTTATGATTTCCAGTGCCTTTTTTCTGAGTGATCAGATAAAACTACCAAGAACACAGTGATGGCATGCTCTCTTTTTTGTTTTGGATTTGATGCAGGAGGAGCAAGTTATAAGAAATAGTAAGTTATTTTTTCTGTTTTAAGGAAAATGTTGACTTGTAGATAATAGTACCTTAGCTGCAATTAAATTTATAAATTTCCAACTCCTGTTCCTTTTCTAAATGTACTTCTTTGCAGTGATAGTCTGGAAAGAGACTTCCATGTGACTCCTCAAGGATGCATTAATTGTCTTATCATTACATGAAAGTATTCAGGGTGCCTGGGTGGTGTCATCGGTTAATTGCCTGACTCTTTATTTCAGTGTGGGTCATGATCTCAGGATCCTGGGCTTGAGTCCCACGTCTGGCTCCATGCTCAATGGGGAGTCTGCTTGAGGATTCTCTCTCTCTCCTAACCCCTCTACCCCGCCTCTAAAATAAGTAAATAAATCTTTTTTAAAAAGATTTTATTTAGGGGCTCCTGGGTGGCTCAGTGGGTTAAAGCCTCTGCCTTCGGCTCAGGTCCTGATCCCAGGGTCCTAGGATCGAGCTCCTCTACTCAGCAGGGAGCTTGCTTCTTCCTCTCTCTCTGCCTGTCTCTCTGCCTACTTGTGATCTCTGTCTGTCAAATGAATAAATAAAATCTTTAAAAAAAAAAATGAAAAAAATAAAAATAAAAAGATTTTATTTATTTGACAGAGACATAGAGCCAAGAGAGCACGAGTGGAGGGAATGGCAGAGAGAGGGAGAAGCAGGCTCCCCACTGATGAGGAGCCGAAGGCAGATGCTTAACCTTCTAAGCCACCCAGGTGCCCTGTAAATAAATCTTTTAAATAAATAAATGAAAGTGTTCAAAACTAAATATTCATCTTATTTTCAAAAAATAGTTGGACTTGAGTGTTTTAAAATTAAATTCTTTAGCTAATTATATCATAAAATCTAAGTTTAAATTTTATTGGCATAGATTCTAATTTTTTTAAACCTTCCAAAATGAAATGTTTCAAGCCCTAAAAGAGGATGTAGTTTCTGGGAGATACTATTCAAAAGAATAGACCTTTCATTCCCCTCCTTTGCAATAAGATCAAATGTACACAGATGACGTGTCCTGCTTTGCTAATATAGAAAGACAGGGCCAGTTCCAGGAGACCTGGTGGGATCTGCCAAGGGAAGGCAGGGGGAGGTAGGAAACCCTCTCCCCACCCATCCCCCCTGGATGTAGCCTATGTAGCCTATAGAAGCCAGGGACTGCTGCGACCTTCAGCCTTACCCTTTTATCTTCTAACCTCTTCTTAATACCTTGCTCCTGGGCTTCCCTCTTCCGGTTCTTCTCCTGGGTGTTCTTTTCA